GATAGGCTAAATAACTTTTTATAATTTTGAATACACATGGATTTCAATAAACAAATGGATAAGACTGTTCTATTCTCTTTGATTTAGTTTCAATTGCAACTCAGACAAATGACTGACTGAAATGAATGAAGGATGAATTAAACGTTCAAATATGTTGGAATGACGAGTTGCACGCATCATGCATGGTCTGCACTTTATTTGGCTAGTAGGCAAATAGGCCTACATTAGGGTATAATGACTCTATGACTGCATGCCTCCAGAAGGGCATCTTCTGAGGCTGAGGGGTGCTTTTCCGAAGGCACATGGTGCTGTGGTGATGTATGGAGATCCCAAACTCTTGAACTGGGCAGCAGTGTCGCGATGGAGGGAATAGCCTATACGGAGACTACCTAAAACTACAGCAACAGAGTTATTGTAAAGTGTGGGAATAAGCTTATGCCAGACTAAGCCTACGTTTAACCTCTCCCTTGTTCATTTCAAAGTCCATATGTTCATGACCCGATTCATATAAATCATGTCAAATAATTTTAATTCATATTAACCCCTCCTACAGAATATGCTTTGGCAAGGTTTTGAGTGATTAAATAAATATCAAAATATTCTATAAAAAAGTGTGTTGTTGTAGCCTTGTGTTATAATGCAATTATTAATTGCCATGTTTAGTTAATTAAATTGGAAGTTATCAATTGTGATCATGGTCACAGCTCTATCGCAAATGTATCATTCTCTACATTTAATGTCAGTTTCATTGTGGACTTTTCCCTGAAATGAGATATTGGCATGTTGGCCTATCACAAGGCTATAGGCTACCTACATCTCGCTCAGCAAACCATGGCAAAGTTGAATTGCAATTATAAACCCAGATTTTAGTCAGCAGCCTATGCCTATTGAAATAACAAGTCAACCTCGCAAATAGGCCATTTATAACGGTATGTAGTCAACATCTGGCACATAATAACGGCATAATTGCCAGAAAATAGCCTAACATTCGTATTCTGAAGTTTGTCCAAGTGTTTCTTGCACAGAGATTTCTAGATCCGCTGTCCAACTTTCATCACACAAACTCTCCTGTCGGATTTATCTATAGTTATGCACATGCGCAAACGGGAATTATTTACAATTATAAACTGGGTGGTTTGAGCCCTGAATGCTGATTGGTTGAAAGCCATGGTATATCAGACATGTACCAGGGGAATGACAAAAACATACTTTTTACTGTTGTAATTACGTGGGTAACCAGTTTATAATAGCAATAAGCCACCTCAGGGGTTTGTGGTATATGGCCTAAGAACAGCCCTTAGCCGTGGTATATTGGCCATATACCACACCTCCTTGGGCCTTATTGCTTAATCATAGCAGTCAAAACAAGTTAAATCGACATCCATTGATGGAAAATGATCTGGAGAGTTGAATAAAGGTGATTTATATTTTCTCTTGCGACATATTCTTAAACTTGCAATAATTATTATTTTGATGGAAAACTGAATTTTGTTTCTTAGACTACGTCATTAAAAATGACGTCGATATTCCTTCTTAATTCACTCAATAACGTTATGGAAAAAGGGTTTCTTGGATAAATGTGGCTGCAAAAAAATAAAATCTGGAGAAGTCTGATAAAGCACGTGTTTAGGATGTCCTCAAACTGGAACAGAACAAGATTGAGAAGGAGATTTCAGTGAAGCAACATCATAAGGAGCAGCAGGTAAAAACGGAAGCAGTTATGGTACTGCTTTTGTAATATCTAAAACTATAAATTACTTTGCTAGCAGCTCAGCTAGCAAACACTAATGTAAAAAATGTAGGCTACTGCGACTGCAGCATGTTCTTCTTTGATACAGGGTGGGACCAATCAGAAAAATACAGTGCATTCGAAAAGTATTCAGACGCCTTGACTTTTTACATATTTTGTTACGTTTCAGCGTCATTCTAAAATTGATTAAATCCTTCTTCTTTTTTTTCTCATCAATCTACACACCATACCACATAATGACAAAGCAAAACAGGTTTTTAGAAATTGTTGCAAATGTACTAAAGATAAAAAACTGAAATATCACATTTACATAAGTATTCAGACCCTTTACTCAGTACTTTGTTGAAGCACCTTTGGCAGCGATTACAGCCTCGAGTCTTCTTGGGTATGACGCTACAAGCTTGGCACACCTGTATTTGGGGAGTTTATCCCATTCTTCTCTGCAGATCCTCTCAAGCTCTGTCAGGTTGGATGGGGAACGTCGCTGCACAGCTATTTTCAGGTCTCTCCAGAGATGTTCGATCGGGTTCAAGTCCGGGCTCTGCCTGGGCCACAAAGACATTCAGAGACTTGTCCCAAAGCTACTCATGCGTTGTCTTGGCTGTGTGCTTAGGGTCGTTGTCCTGTTGGAAGGTGAAACTTCGCCCCAGTCTGAGGTCCTGAGCGCTCTGGAGCAAGTTTTCATCAAGGATCTCTCTGTACTTTGCTCCGTTCAACTTTCTCTCGATCCTGACTAGTCTCCCAGTCCCTGCAGCTGAAAAACATCCCCACAGCATGATGCTGCCACCACCATGCTTCACCGTAGGGATGGTGCTAGGTTTCCTCTGGACGTGACGCTTGGTTTCATCCGACCAGAAAAACGTGTTTCTCATGGTCTGAGAGTCTTTAGGTGCCTTTTGGCAAAATCCAAGCAGGCTGTCATGTGCCTTTTACTGAGGAGTGGTTTCCATCTGGCCACTCTACCATAAAGGCCTGATTGGTGGAGTGCTGCAGAGATGGTTGTCCTTCTTGAAAATTCTCCCATCTCCACAGAGGAACTCTGGAGCTTTATCAGAGTGACCATCGGGATCTTGGTCACCTCCCTGACCAAGGCCCTTAACCCCTGATTGCTCAGTTTGGCCGGGAGGCCAGCTCTAGGAAGAGTCTTGGTGGTTCCAAACTTCTTCCATTTAAGAATGATGGAGGCCACTGTGTTCTTGGGGACCTTCAATGCTGCAGAAATATTTTGGTACCCTTCCCCAGATCTGTGCCTCGACACGATCCTGTCTCGGAGCTCCACAGACAATTCCTTCGACCTCATGGCTTGGTTTTTGCTCTGACATGCACTGTCAACTGTGGGACCTTATATAGACAGGTGTGTGCCTTTCCAAATCATGTCCATTCAATTAAAATGACACAGGTGGACTCCAATCAAAGTTGTAGAAACATCTCAAGGATGATCAATGGAAACAGGATGCACCTGATCTCAATTTCGAGTCTCATAGCAAAGGGTCAGAATACTTATGTAAATAAGGTATTTCTGTTTTTTATTTTTAATACATTTGCAGAAATGTATAAAAACCTGTTTTCGCTTTGTCATTTTGGGGTATTGTGTGTAGATTGATGAGGATTATATATTTTTTGAATCCATTTTAGAATAAGGCTGTAACGTAACAAAATGTGGAAAAAGTCAAGGGGTCTGAATACTTTATGAATCACCCATCAACATTGCACCAGAAAATGTGAAAGTCACTTTTACAGAGAGATAGACTATGCTTTTGTTGTATTACATTGATAAACATTTAAATCCCCTTTTCACTATCTCTTGATCAACTCTTTAAACGTTTTCAGTTGAATATGACGCCATTGTTTCCTATTACAGGTATTTAGTTTTACTTGTAAAATATTTGGATGGGAAGAACCATCAAATGACTATCAATAATCTTCTTTATTATGGTTAAGAGAATGCCAAGAGTGTGCAAAGCTGTCATCAAGGCGAAGGGTGGCTACTTTGAAGAATCTAAAATCTCAAATATATTTTGATTTGTTTAATACTTTTTTGGTTATTACATGATTCCATATGTGTTATTTCATAGTTTTTATGTCCTCACTATTATTCTACAATATAGAAAATAGTAAAAAATAAAGAAAAACCCTTGAATGAGTAGGTGTGGCCAAACTTTTGACTGGTACTGTATACATTTCAGAATAAAATGTAAAAGTTATCCACTCTAAAGAATTGTTTCTAATTCTAGTTTCTGGTTCTGAAATGCAAGCGAAGTGATCAAAGATGCAAACCCCAGAGACATTTACATTAAAAGGGGATTTCTGTTGTTCAAATTACAGGGGGGCTTACTGAGGGGCCAATTATTAGCTGAACCTTTATTAAAAAGAGCAACATTTTATGAATAAATAATGTATTTTATCCCTAAAACAAGGGATCAGCTTTCCAATTGCCAAAAATGCAGTTTTGAACACAGCTTCTCAACATGTCAAACTGAGAAAGGATTATCCTAGATGTTTCCAGATCCTGTAGTCACCCAGCCACTGATTATTTGGCAATAGCCAAGCACTGGTGAGATGATTCCCTAATCCCTTTCCCTACTGAAATAAATTGGCTTTATATGAATGAAACCGCAGCTGCGCATGTCAGATGGATACAAATTGCACTAGTAGTTCATGCTGAAACCATTCAATGTTTACTCCACCAGGTGGCATCTCGAACCACTTTCCATTCACTGTCAGACATTAAATTAGTTGGCAGCCTCATGTTCAGCCTAGTGATAATGCCACTAAAGTCAGTATGATAAAATGCTGTTTGTTGATTGCTGTTTTCCATTTTTTAAAGAAACATTTATTACAGTAATTTAATTTCCAAAATACTGGTTACATATTACAGAAGTGAATAAATATTTATTTCATCTTGGTATATCATGTTGATATAGAATAAGTGTAACGTGCTCTGATAGAGTTATGTGTTGCTCTGATAATAACATTTTAAAAAATCTGTTCAAAAAAATCCCCCCATTCAACAGCAGTGGAATCAATTCAGTCACGTTACTGGATTAATTGTTCATGAATTCATTCAGTATTTCACGCACATGTGAAAAGCACATTTAAGCACATTAATCATTTAAATCATCTTTGATTGAGAAGTATTTCGAGCAAATAGGATTGGTTCATTTCAGTAATGCACCACCTATTCATCCGCCCTCTGTGACGTCAGGGAGAGTTTATATAGCTGGGGAATTTTCTGCGCGGGCATGTCAGACGGATACAAATGATATTTGAGGATACAACAGCGCTGAAAGGATCAATTGTTGAATCAGAGGATTGTTGGACAATATTTATTTTGGATGAATGGATACTGCATGTTTTACCACCTCTCAGCGTATTTCATGTCTCAGGATGAATCCGGATCTAGCCAAACCTTGTCCAGAACGTGAAGTTATTCCTCCTACTAAACCGAACAGGACTAAATCAGAACAAATCAAACCAGAACTCGCCCAGGTGGTGACAGATTCCAAGACAGGAAAATCTTACAGCAAAGGAAAGCTTCTGGGAAAGGTATTATATAAATTTGATGTATGGAATTACATTTCTCACCGAAATCAATTATTTATACCAATTCTGGTGACTATGTGGTCGGATGGTAGTAGTCTAAAGAAATTGGAGATTGCAGCGTCAGTGTTACATTGTCAGTTTTCATTCATTGACATGATTTGTTCCCGGTTGGGTCGCATGTTCTACAAAGCTACAAGTTACACTCCAAATGTGAATGCTTCATTACGGGATAATTACCCCGCGCGGTACTGGCTATGACAAACTTTCTCCCAGCGTCATTCATTCTCTCACGAGTCTAGCGAGATGTGCCCCTCGTGTGCATTAATCTAGGCTACTAGCCCGAAAATCGACATTTATTATCTCTTCTGACTGCGGTGGTGGAAATTGGCCCATTGGCTATCATAAAACCAGCCACCGTTCTAATACCACCCGTCATGAGGATATACATTATTTTGCAAGTGCAATAATACAATCTAACGTACGTGTCATTGGTCATTCATTCGTTTATAGAATGTATTTATTATAAATGCCTCCGTCTGTGCTACTGCATGGGAGAAACAAATCATTGTTAATGTTTGTGAAATGTCGCATTACCCTAATTAGAACAATTAAATGTTATTATAAACAAAATGATGGTGTATTTAACACAGTTGCTAATTAAACAATTTCGAAGGTATTTGATGAAAGGAAAACGTCACAATTATGTACAAGATATATGGTTGGAACATACGTCATTGGACAGGCAATACAAACAGGCAGCCTATAGTGTTGAAAGACAAGCAAAAGCAATATCATTGTGAACAGCATTCATGTTGTTTTATGGATAGAAAATAAAGGCTGATGCTGATTTGTAGTGTATTGTTTTTCTTCAAAGGGTGGCTTTGCACGATGCTATGAAATGACAGACCTTTCCAACAAGAAACTGTATGCTGTAAAGGTGATACCACAGAGCAGGGTGTCAAAACCTCATCAGAGGGATAAGGTAAGGAAACATTTGAATGTAAATCTGCAGATTTTAACTTTTTTTTTTCTTCTCAAGGATTGGTCTCTATTCCTACTTATATTCTGGTTAACGGTTTCATTATTATTTTTTCAACAGATAACAAATGAAATCGAGCTTCACAAAACCCTACATCACAAGCATGTGGTTAAGTTCTCCCATCATTTCGAAGACCCAGACAACATCTATATTTTCCTTGAGCTCTGCAGTAGAAAGGTGAGCTGTGCGGCTGCTTTGTTCTGTTGTGGTACAGCTTGTGCAGGCATTCTGAAGGGTGCTCATTGGGTACTGACAGAATTCTCACCTCGTCTTTGCAGTCCCTGGCACACATTTGGAAAGCAAGACACACACTGACAGACCCAGAAGTGCGGTACTACCTCCGGCAGATCATATCTGGGCTGAAGTACCTTCACAATAGGGGCATCCTTCACAGGGATCTCAAATTAGGTATGTAGAGTGATTTGTGGAATAAGATGTATCTTGATTATTTTACCACACCATCTATCTCATTCAGTTCAGCTATTTAGAACATCTCAATGGGATATTTAGAATTTGCCATTTGGTTGTAGTTTCGTATCAAAGCGTTTCAGCTGTGTGCCTATTTCTCATGGGAGGCCTGGAAAAATGTACTTGATGAATGTTTCTCTTGCAGGCAATTTCTTTGTGAATGAGAACATGGAGTTGCGGTTGGGAGACTTCGGGCTTGCAGCGAAGTTGGAAACAGTTGAGCAGAGGAAGAAGTAAGTCAACTGATGGAATGTGTCCGATCCCGGAATATTCTTGTTTCCTTCTAAGCCAATCCAAGGAATAATGCCTCTAATGCAAACCTGTTTTTCCTCAGAACTATCTGTGGAACACCTAACTACCTTGCACCCGAGGTGTTGAACAGGCAGGGCCATGGAACAGAGTCTGACATCTGGTCACTAGGTTGTGTAATGTAAGTATACTTGAAATGTTTGTCTTGTGGCGTCTGAGTTATGTTGTATTTGACTTAGTGTATACTTGCTGTTGACTTTGATCTACAGTGGACCTACAGCTCTTACTTAGGTACTGAGGTACAGAATTTCACGTATGCAAAAAGTCGTTTTATGGTTATGAGGTAGGCCATTGCTAAGCTAGTTTAGCTTTTATAGTGTTACTCAAATGACGCTATGTCAATAGTTGAACTCAATTGGCATTGGGGAGACTTACAGATTAATATTTTCTTCAACCAGGTACACACTGATGTGCGGGAACCCTCCGTTTGAAACCCTTGATCTGAAGGAGACGTACAAGTGTATAAAGGAAGTGAAATACAACCTGCCCTCGACCCTGTCTCCTGCGGCTCAGAAGCTTATCTCTGGCATTCTGCAGAAGAACCCCAGCGACCGCCTCACACTGGACCAAATCCTCAACCACCAATTCTTCACAAAAGTACGTGACCAGGCACTGGAATTGGGCTAGAATTTACAGCATTAATGCCCATAGCTTTTTTACTCATTTGATTACATACATACTGCCTTGATTTGTATGTTGAATGGCTTTCCAATTGGTTTGTTATGCTTCTTGATCTTTAGATGAAATGTGGGTACAATTGGAGGGCTCAGCCATGGCTATAAAGTATACTTTCTAAAGAGCAACACTCTGAATAATAGCACATGCCCACTGACTAAAGAGTGAGGTCTCGAGAGGATGGCAGTATTCAGTAAGTGGTTGATTTTTGAAGTGCCGACCTTGCATTTTCCCTGTCCTAAACCTCTTTCTCTCCCTCTCATAGGCGTTCACCCCAGACAAGCTGCCTCCCAGCAGCTGTGTGACAGTGCCAGAGCTCAACCTGCCCAGCCCTGCCAAGAAGTTCTTCACCAAGATGGCCAAGAGTCTTTTTGGCAAGAGAAAATCCAAAGGTAAGCGTTGTGGCAAGTCACAACTGACCTTAAAAAGGCTGCAGCCTAACCCCAGGATTAACCCTAGAATCAGGGTTTAATTTAGCGTGTTTTTGTTTCATAGTGGAGAAGAACCATTGTGAAGAGCGGGAGAGCATCTCCAAGCTTGTGTCCGGCATCGTCAAATGCTCCATTAGTCGCCAGATAAGCTATAAAACAGTTGGTGCCAATGAGGTATGTATTATTTTGCATGTGACAACACATGGTACAGCCAAACTCTTCAATAGCATAGGCTAGATAGTTTATAGCAAAGGCTAGACATGTTTAATTACTTTAAGTATGCAGTTCCTCTTGTTAGCTGAGATGTATTAGCTAAGGACCTAGCTCAGCAAGGGACTGTTATGGGGCAGCCATAGTAGTGAATGTCTCAGAATAGTGTTGTACTGTACTTAGCAGAATCTCATTTTAGCCAGACGATCTATGGGGAGACTGAGTGATGGCTTAACCCCCACCTAAAAATATATATATTGGATTCAGGCCTGTGGAATAAATCCTGCAAATGCAATATATATTGGATTCAGGCCTGTGGAATAAATCCTGCACACTGCAAATCCTTGTTTCTCAGCCCCCTGACATCTGTTTCCCTAGCGGTGCTCATTCAATACAACTGCATTTGATTCATGCGCCGTTCTTTGCTTTTTGGGTCAGATTTAAAACTCTTGTAAGGAAGGAAAACCAGTTTTTGTTTCCTGAAGCTCATGAAAGTGGTTTCCTGTTTCAGGCTCCCACTCCCACAGTAGGCCAGCAAGTCAGCTCTGGTCCTCTGGATACTCCAGCTGAGGAGGAGTCCAGGAAGTCAGCAGCATCAGGCTCCTTTAAAGGCACGGTGCCCAGCATTACGGAACGTAAGTCACTACTCTGATTGTTTTGAGTTTAACATCAATCAGCAGTTTTACTGAACATGATCAATGCTTTAAATGTGGATTTGTGCCAATTATAGAGCATCTTAAGATCAAGGCCTTTTCCATACCTATACATATCAATTACTGTGAAACAGCCTTTCACTTGTCTTTTTGGTATATCCAAATGAATCACATCTGAAGTGGCTTGAATGCACTGATTGTTTCATAACATCTGAGCTCATGGACCTGACAGGTGGTTTGAGTCAGACTTTCACACTGTTGGTGGTGATAAGTTAAACCTCACCCTCTCCTATCTCTCTCCAGCGTGTGAAGATGGCCTTACCCCTGCTGCTGTTGCGGAGTCAGCCATGAAGGTCCTCAACAGCTGTTTGTCTGCCATGCCTGCAGGTGAGCTTTCAGCCTCTCCGCAAGCTAGTATTCATTGTGGCTTTATTATACTGAAATTGTCTTTAAGTAGCCTTCTCTTAATGAGTCTCTCTTCCTCTCCAGCTACAATAAACCCACCTTGTCTCTCCAGACCCAAATCCTTTATCTGGGTCACAAAGTGGGTTGATTATTCCAATAAATATGGCTTTGGCTACCAGCTCTCAAATCAAGACATTGGTGTGCTCTTCAACGAGGGGACACACTTGAGTCTGTGTGATCAGCGCAAGTAAGAGCCCTTTTCAACTCATTTAACAATATTCAAGCAGTTATTGGCCTTATTTTAATGCTTTGACCAAACTGAATTGTGTTTTGTAGCCTTTTGATTGTCTTAAACCGTTGTCTTGTCTAATGTATTTTCATTGTCTTCCCCATAGGACTGTGCATTACTGCATGACCAACAACAAACACTTCACCTTCCAGGCCAGTGCTTTACCAGAGCAGCTCTGCAGCCAGAAGCAGATTGTGGAGCTTATGGCCAACTACATGGAACAGAACCTCATAGAGGTAAGGCATTGGAGAAGGAAGTTATAGGTTGTGTCCCAAATGGTACCCTATTTGCTTTATTGAGCCCTGGTCAAAAGTAGTGCACTACATGGTGAATTGGGTGCCATTTGCGACTCGGACATAGTAATTAGTCATTTTATTTGATCAAGGAATCAGTAATCAGCTTGCAGTTTGCTGTTCTAAGTGGGATTTTAATGTAATGTTTTTTCTCTTACAGGGTGGAGACCTCCACTGTAAAGACCAGCCTCCCTCCCAGCCACCTCTCCTTCTGCAGTGGGTGAAGACCGACCATGCTCTGGTGATGCTCTTCAACAACGGTACACTGCAGGTAAGACCTACTGCTACACTTCTGTCCTTTTGAGTAGCACAATTTTAACTGCAAGACTGTTATACCCCACTCAGTGTAATTATATTGTATACAATTCCCTTTGTCTCATTGTGTGCATTCACCATCCTTTTTCTCCCAGGTGAATTTCTACACTGACCACACCAAGATCATCCTGTGCAAGTCCTCTGACTCCTACCTACTGACCTACATCAGCCGCGAGCGCGTGTCCTACACTTACCTCCTGAGCATGCTGTTAGAGATTGGCTGTTCTGCCGAGCTGCGGCACCGCATGCTCTATGTGGTCCAGCTGCTCGAACACCATGTGGACTCATAATGGACCGGAGTAAGGTGAAGTTTCCCCTAAATGCTGATCTGGGGTCAGTTTTGAATTTCCCCCTCTAATGGTTAAGGTTAGAATTGGGGGAGGGGAAGCTGATACTGGATCTGTACCTAGGGAAGACTTCACCCCAGTGCCATAGCTCCTGGCTCTGTCCACAAGCTTCAACCAATCAACCCACTGCTTTCTGCTTCCACTGGGAGCAAATAACCAGGAGGCTCCGTTGTTAATTCAGGGAGTCCCCCATCTTTGGCTAGTGTCTGGCCTCTTTGGACTATGGTGCAAATCTATATTTTTCAGTCATTTTTTTTTAGAATGAAGCCTATAATTTGACAACCGTATCACACTACTGGCTTGACTCACTTCATGCGCACAAACAACCTGACCCTGTTCTCTCAGTAGATGCGCAGACCTGATTCTGAAAATGGCAGGCTGGGATAACAAGCTGCCAAGTGACCACCCCCATTATGGTTAAAAAGCTGTGCAAAAAGGGGCTCTTTTGCTTTTCACGCTTTGACGTCACTTGCCTTTTGTGATAATTGAGCTTCACTAATTGGTACACAACGGTGTACGGAGGGCAATGAGTGTGACACTATTTGCACAATCTCTTATTATATTTCTTTGGATTGGCAGTCATTTTACCACAAGTTGCTGAATTTCTGTTCCGTTTTTAGCTATAGATACCAAAAGGTCACTTTTACACCTTAACTGCGTAATGGGCGATTCATGCCAGCATAGGCCGAAAATATTTTTGGCATCTCAGATTGTTCTGGTAATTCTCACATTGCAACTTCATTGGGAAACAAGTTTTGCGAAAATGCGTAGCCTTTTTAGAACTATACATGCCTCCTGTAAGACCCTATTATGTGAACCGTACATGATACAGACAAGATCTTGGTGTCATTATACTCAGTGTGCTCTAACATGGAGTATGTCTAGATTCTGAAATAAAAATAATCACTTAATTTATGCGACATTAAATATGATCTCAAAAGTACCTGTTTTTGATTTAGCATATTTTTTGACATTGTTTGGAACTATATACTCTTCAAACACATCACATTTCCTGAGTGGGCTCTCTGGTACTTTTAATGGAATTACATATGTCATTATACCAAACACAGCCCTCCTTTTTAGGATTGCACGTTCAGCAAATCACTGTTTGCTGTGTTGGTGGTGCTCATAAAATTGATCATAACTTCAGAATTAGTAGAGACCCCACTCTGGAAATGTGATGTACTTGTATGTGGTGTATTTTGTTCCAAACAATGTCTTAAAATGAACAAAATCAAAAAGGGTACTTTGAGAGATTCATACTAATATGTTTAATGTTGAATAAATTAATGTGAAAATGTTTCAGAATCTAGACATGCTCTGTTAGAGCACACTAAGGAGTATGACACCAAGTTATTTTCTATCATGTACGGTTCGTGGATCGTAAGGTCTTACAGGAGGCATGAATAGGTCTACAAATGGCCACTTTCACCATGTTTTTCTCAAGATACAAATAAAACATCCTTCCGCCCAATGACGTTTCTATGTGAGAAGTGGCAGAACAATCTGAGATGCCAAAAATATTTTCGGCCAACGTTGCCGTGGAATCGCCCTAATATAGATGTTTTTTTTGTTCCGGAATGAATGTGTGCACTCCAGTGGAAAGTGGCTTTGATCAATTAAATTGCTGTTTGGCAAAGGGGATAAAGTGCCTTTTTGAGAAGTCTGTCTATTGTGCAATAACAGCCCTTTTGAATGTCAGGTTGTGGTGGCATGGGAGATGGACTATGGAGGCAAATACTTTTTTACAAGGGATTGGGTAACTTAAAATGTCTGAAGCACTAGTCTCACTACCTGGTATAAGCTTTTGGTATGAGAAACCTGTAATACATATGTCAAATAAATATTGCATTTTGTCATACTGTGCTCATCCCTCTTTGGTTTACCTTGCCCGCCGTCTCTGCCAAGAGTTGTATTCCTTAAACTGTGACCTGAGTGCAAGTATTATACAACTTCCAGGTATTGTCTTTTCAAAATCCAACATTGTGAAAGCATCTGCTTTTTCAGAAGATTATTTTTGACAAATGTTCTGTCTATTTATTTTATTTATTCATGTGTAATTGTATGGTCTTGACATGTGATATGATCACTTTATGGACTGTATTTGGGAGAATGTAGTAAAATAAAGTTTATGGAAATCACATTGACCATTTTTGAATTCTTTGACAATTGCTTGACTTTAATCAGAAAATACAATTGTTTGTGCTTTTTTGCCCCATGAGCTTAACATTTGTACAAGAAGCACGATGTTTGACAATGGCGTTGGTGAAATACAATTTAATCCACAAACCAGTGTTTGCTATACACGAGAGTTGACATTCTGGCCCTAGGATCTAGGACTTTATCAGTGTTCATCCAGGCGAACTAGCCACTTTCATGCAACAACTTGGATCTATGCTGAACAAAAATATAAATGCAACAATTTCAAAGATTTTACAGAGTTATATTTCATATAAGCAAATCGGTCTATTGAAATTTCGTTAGGCCCTAATCTATTGCTTGCACATGACTGGGAATACAGAAATGCATCTGTTGGTCACAGATGCCTTAAAAAAAAAAGTAGGGGTGTGGATCAGTATCTTGTTTGACCATTTGGCTCATGCAGCGTGACACATCTTCGGAGTTGATCAGGCTGTTGATTGTGGAATGTTGTCCCACTCCTTTTCAATGTCTGTGCAAAGTTGCTGGATATTGGCAAGAACTGGAACACGTTGTCGTACACGTCAATCCAGAGCATCCCAAACATGCTCAATGGGTGACATGTTCGGTGATTTATGCAGGCCATGGAAGAACTGGGATATTTTCAGCTTCCAGGAATTGTGTATAGATCCTTGCGACATGGGGCTGTGCATTATCATACTAAAACATGAGGTGATGGCAGTGGATGAATGGCACGACAATGGGCCTCTGGATCTCGTCACAGTATCTCTATGCATTCAAATTGCCATTGATAAAATGCAATTGTGTTTGCCTATAGCTTATGCCTGCCCATACCATAACCCCACTGCCACCGTGGGGCACGCTGTTCATAATGTTGACATCAGCTAACCACGACGCCATACTCCCTGACCAAAAAAAAAAAAAAACTCTGGTCTGATGAAACCAAGATTTAACTCTTTGGCCTGAATGCCAAGCGTCACATCTGTCTGCCATCTGCCCGGTACAGTTGAAACTGGGATTTATCGGTGAAGAGCATACTTCCCCAGCGTGCCAGTGGCCATCGAAGGTGATCATTTGCCCGCTGAAGTCGGTTACTACGCCGAACTGCAGTCAGGTCAAGACCCTGGTGAGGACGACGTGCACGCAGATGAGCTTCCCTGAGACGGTTTCTGACAGTTTCTTTAAAACAATGTTTCTGGAGGCTTATGAAATAAACAGATTCTCTGGCAACAGTTCTGGTGGACATTCCTGCAGTCAGCATGCTAATTGCACGCTCCCTCAAAACTTCACATTTGTGGCAATGTGTTGTGTGACAAAACTGCACATTTTAGTGGCCTTTTATTGTCCCCAGCACAAGGTGCACCTGTGTAACGATCATGCTTTTTAATCAGCTTCTTGATATGCCACACCTATCAGGTGGATGGATTAACTTGGCAAAGGAGAAATGCTCACTAACAAGGATGTCAACAAATTTGTGCAAAACATTTGAGAGAAATAAACCTTTTGTGCCTATGAAACATTTCTGGGATAATGTATTTCAGCTCATGAAACATGGGATCATCACTTTACATGTTGCGTTTATATTTTTGTTCAGTATAGTTGTTGCCAGTGCGTATGACTCACTCACAATAAACCCCATGGACTATGACCAAGGTGAAAAGAGAATGGTTTTGGAACATTGCAACTGCAAAGTCATCATGTTGTGAGTCCCAAAGACAGCGACTGGCCACTCGTAGACCCTGGTTCCTCTTCTGCCCCACCACCACCTGACACACCAGCTTGTACCGCGGAGGACTGATCTCTTTCACTTTACTCTTCACCATGTCTGACAGAATCTGGCTAAGATGGCTGCCTGAGGCTGCGTTATAGCTGGCCCCATCCAAATAACTATCCAACATGGCTTGCACAAGCTTCTGTACCTTACTGGCTTTAAAAAGACAGCCATTCTCTGGTTCAGTCTTATAGGTGTTCTCTAGCTGGACAGGCTGATGGAGGGGCAACCCAGAGAAACTGACCCGACTGCCCTGAAGCCAACCGCCAAAAGAAAAGCGCTTGGTCAGGGCGACCAAGTCCCGGCGTATGAAAGTGGAGTTAGGGTTGCTGACATTGGGGCTCCTGGATGAGGACTTGATAGGGGGGAAGCCCCTCGGGAGTAGAGGAGGGTGCCTGGGATGCAGCTGCTGCTGTTGGTCCCTGGACAGGGAGCTGCGGAAGATGGAGATGGAGCCTTGGCGGCTCTGGCGAAGCCTCTGGGAGCCCCATGGTTCCATGGCCTGCTGGTGACACTGGGCCAGAGTCTCCTGGGAGAGAGGGGGCTGCTGGGTCGTCATTTCGAGCCAAACCTGAAAGAGGGCACTGTACTGTACAAGGATGCAGTTGGTTGCCGGTGCATTCACTTAATCACATTCACTTACATCCCTGTCATTTGCCAGAGGAATCAATCTGTCTTGAACTATGGATTTTTATAGTGCTGCCCTAAGTCTTGTCTATCATGTTAGTAAACATCTCCCTTTCTGCATGTGGAGAATGAAAATAGCCTTTACATCAACTGTAAATAAGACACAAAGAACACCATGTGACCAGTTCTTTCTGAATTTACATAATCCACAGCATTTTGGTTCACGTAATTGGCTGTCCTAAATTTAACCCTTTTGCTGATTCCATCCAACCCTAATACCCTCATGAGAGTTCCTATCAGCATCAGCATGATGGCTAAAATACCGTCATTTACAATTTCCACTCGTGTTTATCAGTAGCTTTAAATAACATATATAAAGCTAGGTATGTGAGATTAAGGTCAACTATTCAAAGGACAAGCGCTGAAGCATACAATAGTATGTGAGAAAAT